CTTTGGAGGCCACTCCAGGCACACATTCAGGAAAGGTCAGCAGCTGCATGGAGCAGTCACAGCATTCCATACTCACACCGTGGGATTCAGACTACACCTCAGCACTCTGCAAAAGGCAGGAAAATCTGGCAGGACAGGGAGAAGTCACGGCTGCTAAAGCTGAATAAAACTAATTTTTCCTTCATGTGTTCTATCATGTTTCTTGAGGGGACTCGGTGGGTTCACTCCTGAGCATTCAGTGCAGTACAGGTTCCTCAGGCATAATCCTGTCAGATTATGTTCATCTCTAAACAGAGAACCTTTTAGCAAAACTGAAGGAAGGTAAGCCTCTCTCCTTGCAAAATACTCTTGGTACTTGCTTCCCTCTCCGTGATTACTCCTCCTGATTCCTCCATCCCTGTTCAACTCCTAAAGGGCTTCCCAGTGATACCGAAATGTGTTAATCTGATAGCTAAACCAATACTTTTTCAATTAGAGATTTAATTGACCTTGTTTTGTTTTTAGCCAAAATTGGCCTCTTAGCTGCCTGACAAAGCTTGCTGGATGCACAGACAATCCCCACTCTGCACACAGCGCCAGCCTCTTCTTGGGATTCCTTTTGCTTATGTAAGCAATTTTATTTGTCCCAAAAATTGTCATCCAATAATTACCATGCAACCTTTTAACAACAAGAACTGACAATTTTTAGCAGTTTTATTACCTTTTTTAATTGATTACTTCCCTTAAAATGTGACTCTAATGTCCCTACAATAGCAGTCAAGATCTTATTTTTTTTGAAATACTGATTAATCAATTTGTTTGATCAGAAGGAAACATACTTTAAGGACAAACATACACAACCATTTCAATAATCCCCAAATCAAACTGTTACTGAACTTTCATATTGTAACTACTCAGTTTAAATTTTGCAACTGTTATGTATTAATAAATTCAATCTAAAATCTACATGTTACACTTAAGAGATTGTTATGAGAAAGAGCAATTTAAGTCAGATGTCACAGTATTTGTCTGCCTCAGGACATTTTTAATACTTCACAATCTTTATAAAGGATATACTTCCCAGGAAGTACAGGAATCTACTTACCTCTCTTGGATTTTACAGAACAGCCTGGGTTTATTCCAATACTGGCATTTCAAGTCCTATGAATATTCTTTCAAATACATTGATTAATGTGGTCTTTTTCAAGTATCTTGCAAAAGGGCCACAGTAACATCTGATGTGACTTGTGCATAGTATCTCACTATTATAAAAAATTATTTCCCCGTGCTGCCCAATGGGAGGATGCTCATTTTCCTTCCTGGAGCAGCCAGCTCAGTGTGGGAGTAAGACACACAGAGTGTTGTGTCTGCCTTGGAAAAAAAATTCACTTTCATATCCTCTTTAAATGGAGGGTTTGAATATTTATTTCCTGGATTCAATGTTCTCTCAAACCAGTATCTTTCTTGGCCTCTGATGGCTATTTGTAGTGTTCTGCTGAAGGCTTTATCTGCAAACAGTTCCTATATATCATTCTTTCAATTGCCCTCTTTGAATTTCACTTTCACATCAAATTTCATAGGTGATTTACTTTCTCTTTGACTAATACCTCCTGAGAAATAATTCCATGAATGAAAATAAGGGGTAGATATCAGTCTTAGGTGAGGATCCAGTGGGAAACCACATGAAATGCTGCCGAAGTCCACAACATGCAATGCTCACAACAATATTAGAAAACACTTTCATTAATGACCTACAGGAGGGAGAGAGCATTGCTGAAAGATGAGAGGAACCACGAGCTACAATGGAAATGCAAAACTATAGAGCTCCCTCAGGCAGCTGGAAACTCATCCAAGGAAAAAAAAATGTGATGTGAAATTATAAATATTATGAAGATGGGAGTAAAGATTCATTTTAAGCTGTCTCTTCCAAGGGACATTAAATGATGCTAAGAGATTCAAAGCAAGATCTACTGCACTCAGGCAGTTCTGCTGCAGAACTTCTTGCCATGGGATATTAAGATATTTACATGTATTCGAAATCCCAGGAGACTGACAAAGTGCTCAGTATCACTAGATAGCTGCCATGTGTAGCACCCACCTCTTGCCACTGTCAGAGCTGGTAGGGCTGTTTTATGCTTGTCAGCCAGAGTTAACAAAATTCCATATGAAACCCAGAACACTGAAGGGAAAATCCTGAGCATAAAATAAGATCTGTCTAAAAGAAGTTTGAAGTGATTGAATTAGATAAATGGAAATAAAGAAGGAAGCAATCAGACCAGTGCTAACCCAAGACTATTTCTGCAAAGGACCACAAGTCCAGCTGAACTGGTGTGGACACACCCAGCATGCAGCTGTAGCCATGGGGTCCCTTTTCTCCAGGAAGGCTGACAGACAGGATGGGCTTCATGTAAGAACAACCACATGATTAAGAGATGAGCATGTGATTTATGAAGGATGATTTAAGGAAAGATCTTTGCAACTTACTTGAGCAATGATGAAAACTAAAAGTGACAGCCAGGAGAAGAAATACCTTGTATTTATTTAAAGAGCATGAACTTTATAGCCAAGGGGAAAGAATTAGGCTTGTAACAAAAAGGCACAAAGTTGAAAAGGAATACGAGGTAAAATATCAAGAAGTATGATCAAAGCTGGGAATCACCTTGCCATGGCTTGTCACACACAAAAAATATGGACAAGGAGATTTCATGGAAATGCGTGGTAAGGGACAATGGATTGCTGACCTATTGGAAAGAACAGTGGTGCTCAGGACTCCTACGTCAGCCTGATGCTCACCCTGGCAAGGTGCTCAACAGATGCTACAGAAATTCTGTTGTTTCTCATTATTTCCTCTTTCATGATCAGCAAAACTGTTATTCACAATCCCTTTTTTCTGGAACACACATGCCGTTAGTTACACCTGGTGTTCAGAACAGCCATACATTGGGGTGCTTCTGCTGCCCAAGTCAAACCTGATCTCAGAGCAGAGGGGTCACAGTAAGGAGCCCTCCTAGGTTTAAAAGCTGCAATACAGGAAGAGTAAGCAGTTGTTCATTAGCCAGCTGCAGAATGACAGGGCAGACCAGTCAGTGACAGCTAAGATATTTACCTGCTATTCCATTCCAAATCAGTTAAAACACTCAGCACTAGAAGGGTGTTCCAGGTGCTGAAGCCTTACAAGCTGTGTCAGCTCTACGCTGTCTGCCACATCTCACTCCACCTCACACAGAGTGAATGCTCTCAGCTCTGGCCAGAGAAATGGGGCCTCTGGAATTCAACATGCACTGTGCCACTAGATCAATCTCTTCCTTGGAAAGGTCTTTTATAGGAAATCAAAGGAACTTCTTTCCAGCCCAGCACCAAATTGTGGCTGTGGGCAACAATAAACTCCCAACAATCTCTCCTCTCTTGACCTGTTGTCCTGCAGGATCCTGCAGTGGAGAAGTGACCTCCATCCATTTCACTCCTCCTAAAGGCTTGTTTCTCAGAGCAAAATCCTAATGCATCAGGTAGGATTTGAGATGGTGGGCCATTATTTCTGAAGACTGGTGGAAATCCTGTTAGCACACAGGTAACCTACAAGCTGTTGGATCAGCAGGAGTCCTGCCAGGTCAATGGGATAAGAAGAACGAGTTGCTTTTATAAAAATGTAGTTTTTGATTGAGCACAAGAATAAGGGTGTGAGGAGGGCTCAGGACAGAGGGGAAAAAGGCTACACTTTTGTTCTGGAGGATCTTCCTGTCCCTGCACGGGGTCATACCTCGGCAGCTTCCAGCATCTGTGTTATCCTGCTAAGTGCCCTCTGAGCTACATTCCAAACCCACAAGGGAGCAGCCTCCTGGGCCATCTCTTCAGCAAAGAAAGAGCAGAAGCTCAAGACACAGCTTGGTGGGTGCTGGGCATGCATGAGGGATGAACAGAAGGAGGAACCAGGGAAACCAGGGCCCTCCCAACACCACATGGCACGTAGGACAAGATGTCTTGTAGAAACTACTGTGCACCAGCCACAGAGGCCAGCCACTGCCACTGTGTGGAGAACCAGGACAGGTTAACTTCCAGCCAGACCAGAACTCCACCTGCTCAAGGCTTGGCCATTACAATCCTGTGCCTTGTGTAGAAACCTGATGGGAGTAAACCACGGAGTAAAGCAAGGCAAAAGAAGCTGCTGCAGCCCACCCTTGTGAACATCATGTTAACTCTGTCCAGTGTGCCTCTCACACTGGAAAAAGAAGCTGTTAAGTCTTCTCCAGCTTTCTGGCTGTAATGCATGCCAAAGGCTGGTCCTGGCCCAGCCCTGCAGCTCAGGCTGCTTCTTCCTGCTGGAGGACTCACCACACAGCAGTGATATTCCACACCCTCTTCTTCTACCTCCTCACAGTAGCATGACAGGACTGACATGAAGCTAAAACCTTAATGTTAAAAGCTGTTAACTTCATAAAATTTAACAGATTAACAAAAAAAAAAACAAAGAATTATCCCCCGAAACTCTGAGGGACATGTCACTTGAGGAGCCAAATACAGTCAAAGTGCAGATGTGGTACAAACATCTCGCTGGCACTCACCCATCATTCCCACACTGCATCCCACCCACAGTTGTACTAGCTGCCCACGCCATCCCTGTGCATCCTTCTGTGGCCAAAGGAGCAGAGATGAGCTCTTTCCCTTCAGCAATGCCTACCCAGTCATGGTCTCTGGGAGGCTCTATTCTTGCTTTTACCAAGACCTTGAAACGCTGTCGTCTTTTTTTGCATGCCTGTTGTCCTTCTCTGATTTCAGATCCCCTCTGTTACACACCCCCCAATCACTGGTACCACACACCACGCACAGCACACGTCCACATGCAAACACCAAATACAAATCTGCCAAGAATATCTGATCTGCCTGCCATCAAAAGCAGGAGAGTGGACAGCCTGGGGAAGTTTATTCAGAAAAATGTCAGCCTTCCCATGCTGCTACCTTTTCATCAAGGAGGGATGAACATGGCTGAGAGCAGCACAATAAGGGGGTCCAAGAGATATGATTACCTGTATCCTGTCTTCTGGCAACTCTGTTTTCATGGCCAACATCTCTCTAGCATATACGTCAGGATAGTGGGCCTCATTGAAGGCCTTTTCCAGCTCTTCCAGTTGATAGGATGTGAAGATTGTCCTGAGGAGAGTAAAACTCTTTGATCAAAACACAAGAAGCAGCAAAGATGATGAAGAGTCAGAGAAATGGACACTGAAAACAGTGAAACCTGGGTGACCAGCTAATACCTAGCTTTTCCCCACCTCCTCTGTTTCTGTGCACAAAAGGTCAAGTGCCAGGGTGAAAGGAGAACCAGAAAATGCTAGAAGACAGCATGTTTAACAGTTACAAATCACCTTCCCTTTCAGGGACTTGCCTCTGGAGACAGTGCCTCCCCAGCAGCAAGCACCCGCAGTGATGGCAGCTGATCTTAGGCTCTGCTGCCTCCTGTGAGGATCATCACACCGAGGTGAAGCAGCATCTCCTCAGCACCCTGTCTGGAGAGGTGCTGAGCCCTTTCCCAGCTGCTGGTCCTTAGCCTCTTCAGTCTCCAAGAGCAAGTAATCCTTCACTTTGAGTCTCAGTCTTTGGACAAATTCTCCAAATGTTTTCTCCACCCTAACCCACCACTTTTCACCAGTTCTTCCACGTGAGAGCCAGGACCAGCTCCCTTCCTCTGCCTTTACCCTGGCTGCTTCCACTCCAGTATCTCGTTAGCTGCTCCCTGCCACTTTGCATTAGCCCATTATCCTTTAGAAATCCTCCTGGACAGCCCTGGGCAGGCAGCAGCCCAACCTGCCTCCACACAGCCGCTTCTCAGTTTGGGACAACCAAATTGAAAAATCAGCAGCTGGAAAGCCGAGACAGATGAAAGCCTTCCACTAGCAGATGGATGAGAAGTCTCGGACCACTTCCACTCCCTGGGGGTTAAAACTCTCACCTTTCAACTCCTCCAGTACAGAAAGCACAATTTTTAATAAAAGCTAAAAATACTGCAATCGCAAAAAAAAAAAAAAAAAACAAACAAAAAAAACCCACAAAAAACCCCCAAACCCAAAAAAACCACCGCCAAACAACAAACAAACAAAACCCCCCAACCAAAACCAAACCAAAACAAAAACAAAACAAAAAAAGCAACCAAAAAGCCAAATCGAACAAAAAACCTCAACCAAAAAACCAAACCAAAATAAAACAATCCTCAACCCAACAACGAATTGCAGACCTTGTGCAAAGTAAATGTGTAAATTTACCATCAACTAAAAACCATGTATCTCCCAGAAGGAAAGAGGAAATAGAGACTTTTTCTAAAATGCACCCAAATTTCAGAAAAGCCTTTCAGTTCCAGAGAGCATAAACACAAAATATCAGAAATATCCTCCGCTATACAAAATGAAAAGGATTCCACCAGATCGATAATAATACTAACAAAAGCAGGATGCAAATGCAAGGGACCTGCCTGCAATCAGACCCTTCTTTAAATTCACTCTTAAACCCATTCTCTTTTCAAAGAGTTTTTCTTCAGCTCTGACAAATCTGTGAACTCTAGGGAGAGCAGAGGCACACTGAATCATGTATTTTCTCTCTCTGCGACCACAGGAAAAATTATTTCAATTTTGATCCAGTTTAGATTTCAAGGATTCTCCTCCATCTTCCTCCCACAAGAGCGCGGGAGCCTGTCCATGCTCGCCGGCGGGAGGGTTTCGCTGACATTCAGCTGAAGTTTTCCCTTTTTAGTTCATGCCCGGGTAGTCCCCGTCCCTTTTGCAATTCACAACCCCTTTTGTTGTTTCCATCATGCAGCTTTTTGCGGGGTATTGGCCAGTCATCTTCCAGCCCTTCCTTTGTACAATTAGAGGTCTTAACTGTTTACAACAAAATATTCAACCACAGACAAATGTTGCAGGTCTGTTTGTGTCCAGAACTGAAAACAAAACAAATCTGAATTTCGTTTCCTATCTCTCATCCAGATCGGGACCTGTATACAGTCCCAGCTGTTATCACCCAGCAGGTCTGGGGTGCAAAGAAAATGAACTCGTACTTACTCCAGAGCGAGCACCCAAACTGAGAACATTTGCCTGGCGAGGGGTCCGGTTTTGGAAACCAGCCCTCCAGACCGAGCCTCCTCTTGCACACATAGCAGGATGTCTCCCGGGATAGTCGGTCTCCTTCCGCCCCGCATCCTGCTAAGCTTTCACTGGAGCGTCTTTTAATCCACCTTTCCTGCATCGTGGCAGGATTGATTTAATTATTCCTAAATCACCCTCAGTGGATGGTGTTTGGCCTTCCTTTGTCCTGGCTCTCTGGCCACAGCAATGCCAGAGCCCAGCACGGGATTTTTCGTTTCAGTTTATAAAGCGCAAACAAACCAACTCCATTTTAACTGTGGGAGAAGTCAGGCAAAGTCTATTACCCTGACCGTGCTTATAGGAAACCAAATCCCAAAGTGGGATTCGTCTCCTTAAACGGTTCCCCAGCCTTCTTCAGCTTCTTTGCAGGCTGTCTCTGATTCCCAACTATTTAATCTATTGGCAAAATATTTATTTTTACGTAATAAAATATTTAAATTATTGATAGGAATTCTGTCTTCCTGACAGCCAATATTAAGATTGCTGTATGTGGAGCTGAAAACGGTTTTTATTATTTCTGACAGGTTGATGATTTTCCCTTCCAAACACTGATGATCCGCATTCCACCGCAGCTCATGGGCTGCACAGGATTGCGACCCGGGATACCTGGATCCGCAGCCAGAAAAAAATTAAATAAAATGACACCTCTGGTCGAATCCCCCACTCCCTATCGGCACGTCCCTGTATCCGATTTATTTTGGACGGGGAGAAAGAATAAAGGCAAGGACCCACTGGAGAAGCCGCAGGGGCGTCGGGGCGCTCGGGCGGCCGGTGCCGGGAGGAATATTTTGCTCCAGGCCGGAGAGGGCCGTCCCCGCCGGGCCGGCAGGGCTCGCCGGGGGCCGGTTCCCTGGGGACTGAGGCGACGGGAGCGGGCGGGGTGGCCGCCGCTGTCTTACCTGTGCCGCCTCTTCTTTCGTTTCTTGCTCTGATTTAGGGAGGATTTGGACATTTTTCGGTCGCTGGAAGAGACATCCTCGGAATCTGCGGAAAGACAGGCAGCGGCTGTGGTCTGGGGTTCGCTCCCCGCCAGAGTCCTCCCGGGTAGGGCCAGGCCCGCCGGCTCCGCTCCCTCCGCCGGCTCTGGCCGAAGATTTCGTTGCGGTCGCGCCGCTGACGGGGCCCGACGCCGGCTGCTCCCTCCAGCGCGGCATCAGCGCCGCTCCCGATCCGGGGCGGGCAGCTCGGGGCGATACGCCCCAGCCAGGGAAGGCTCCGGGCCGGGACCGGGCTCTAGATCTCGCCTCTCTCCACCAGAGTCGTTTGCTGAGGCTGCTGTTGCCTCGCTGCTAAAAAGCAGAGCCCGGCGAGCTCAACAAAACCGTAGGAAAACGGGAAAGCTGCAGCCCCCGCTCCGCGACCGGGCAACGGCGACCGCCTGCCCAGCCCGGGGATCCCGAACTGCGCTCCAGAAACACCGGAGCGAGGAGGGAGAAATTGAGGTTTATGGAGCTACCAGCAAAAACAAGCCCCGGGAGGAGCTGCTGCCTTCCGCCGCCCCCAGCTCCCCGGGGATGCTACGGCCCGGGGGTGTTGAGGGCAGGACGCCTCCGCCTTTGCCCCGAAGGAGCAACCGGGGCACGGATCGGGGACCCGTATTTCGATGCGCGCTCCGGTCCCACTGCTGCCCGCGGCGCCGCGCCACCTGCCCGGGCCCGTGCTGCTCGGCGGGCCGTGCTGCGGCCGGGGGCGACGAGCACGGCCCGGGACGGCCGCCGCTGCCGGAGGGAGGCCGGGAATTGCCCCCGGAGCCAGGGTTCGGCGCTGCTGCCGGCCGCTCTGAGGGACCCGAAGCGGCCGCGGAACGGGGCCTGTAGGCAGAGTTATGGGAGGCTGCTGCCGTCTAGGAAAAGGATGCCGAAAAACCCCTAATTATCCGGCAATACGGGGTCGCGGGGGCCGCTCCGACGGGGCTCTGCGCATCCCTAGGCCGGGCGCCCGGGGCCACGCCATCAGACCGCGGCCGCAGTCCCGGACGGGGAAAAATAAGGTCCCGCCCGCCCTTCTCCTCATTCTCGGGATCGAAACGAAATCTCTTTTCCACCGCCGAGCAAGTGGCCTCCCGCCGGGACACCGCGTGCGGGCGGCAGCTGGGTGCGGGCGGCGGTGCTGGTGGGGCGCAGCGGGTCCCCGGGGGCCGGGGACGTGCCTACCTGAGCTGGCCGTCTGGCTGCTGTCCAGCTGCCCGGGGGCCCGGGCCAGGGGCTGCAGGTGGACGCTCTGCGGGTCGGAGAGCACCTCTAGGAAGGTGGGCTGGGTGTAAAAGCCGGGGATGCCGCTGGCCCCCAGCAGCCCCATGCCCACGCCGCCCACCCCGGCGGGACTGAGTACGGAGCGGGCCGCCAGCAGGTGCCCGGCGGGCAGAGAGTCCAGGGCGGCCCGAGGGTGCGACGGCGGCTCCTTGTTCAAACCCAGGATCTCCTGGATGCCGAAGCCGGTGCAGCGGGGTGGGGTGGGCCCAGAGTTGGACTTGACCCCAGCAGCGGGGGGCGGCGGAGGCAGTGGCGGGGCGGCGGGGGCGGCGGCCGCGCCGTCGGGCTTGGGCTTGCCGGGCAGGCTGGGGGCCAGCGCCGCGCCCGCTTTGCCCGTCATGCTGCGGCCAGCGGTCCCTGGTGCCCGCTCCGGGAATGCCTGGGAGCCCCCGGCTCAGGCCCCTTTTATCCGCCCAGCCGGGAGCCCGAGCGGGGTCAGAGCCGCGCAGCCAATCACAGGGGCCAGCCGCGATTAGGGATGCCAAAAAGCCGGCACCGGCGGCGGCGGGGCCGCTACTCGGCGGGCTGGGGCCGGTGCCCGCCAGCGGACTGGGGCTGCCGCCCGCCCCTGCGCAAAGAAGGGCCGGCCCGGCCCCGCAGGCCCCGGCCCCGCTTCGCCTCCAGCCGTGCTGGGGAGGTGGGGTTAGGAAGGGAGGGAGGGAAGGATGGAGGCATCCCTGCTTTCATAAACACGCACGGCGTGGGGCACCGGCCCTGGAGGAGAGATGCGAAAGGCTTACGTGTAGGGAAACCATGGGCTCTCTGGCTTTCTTGCTCATCCGATATTGTGAGATAAATAAGAGGTCAGAAGAGAAATTAGGGCCCATGCAGGTAAGCTAAGAATTAAAACTGAGCAATGTTGCTTAAAAATACTGAGCTGGAAGGTTTGAACATTGGAGAAGCGTTCGGCTTCATGCCATCAGAGGAAGTGAAACAGTTGGTTGGACTCTCTAGACACCCATGCCCATGAGCAGGGTTTCTGAACCACACAGTTTCTTGTTAACTTGCCTTTTATCATCTGTGGGCAAGAGACCACACACCTCACCCCTGCCAGCATTACCCCAACCAAAGACATTAAACTAAGAGAAACCATAAGACTTCCCCTGTTCTGCTCAAGGCAGAGCTCCACCAGCGCATGTCCTGCGACAGCGCTCAACAGCCTGCAGCACGGCTCCTACAGCCTGCTCATGGGGACACTAATCAGCGGGACACCAAACTGGGGCTGGGGCTGCAGCTCCAGATCAGCATGAAAAGTCCATCTTCTGCCTCAGCTTCGAGGAGAAGCAGCTCCCTATTGCTCCTCTTCTCCGTTTTGCAGGCCTCTGAGGTGGTTCATCAGGCTAAATGGCTCCAGTCTTCCCATGAAGGGGAACCTATCCCCAGGGGAAACCTGTCCTCCTGGTCTCTGGAGAAGGCTGTCCAGTGCCAGGTGCATGGTGAAACAAGGGCAGGAACTTTCTCTGAAATTTGTGGTACCTGTCCAGGATGGCCACAAGTGTTCAGGACTGCCCAAAGGCCATGTCCTGCATACTTTGGAAATCCTGGTTTAGAGTCTTGGCCAGCCAAAGAACTGGGGCTGCTGAAGATGCTGAAAACCATGCCTTCCCTGAGCAAACCAAGGGCACCTCCACTGTGATGGCAGGATTGCTGAGACTGTGTCATATTAAAGCAGCAAGGTAGTCATATTCCCAGCCATTATCTTAAAGAAACTCATATCTGCACAGAGATGGAAATGGTTCAGAAGAAGTGAATGAAGACTGCCAGGGCACTGGGGTGGCCAGCTGCTTTCTAAGAGACAGGAAGCTGGGAGCCAAATGTGTTAAGAGTCTTGGAGCAGGTTTCCCCCGGCCCTGCCCCATCTCACTGTACCTGAGCAAGACAAGCAGAGCAGCAGAGCCAGACTCAGCCTCCAGTCCAGCTCACCAGACAAGTTGATGGGGATGAGGCAGCTCCAAGTTCTGGCCATGAAGTCAAGTCCCTGAATGGGGGGGTCCAGATCAGTAGGTACATGGCCTGGTCCAGGCATGTAGCTCAGGCAGGAGCCAGGAATGAGACCCTCAGTTTAAAAGCAGCTGCCAAGCAGAGGAGGAAGGAGCCCCTGCTGAGGGTCCCTCCAGGGCTTTCCTGACAGCTGCCAGAATCAGTGAGCTGACCTTGAGCAGCAGCTTCACCCCTAGAGGGTGGGGAGGTTGCACTGTACACCTTGTCAGGGACATATCAGACAATCCTACCACCTCAAACTTTGGTTTTGTCTTGTCTGCATCAGTCAATTCTTGGTTTGACCTCTGTCCCACCCCACTGGGGCTCCCCAAGTTGAATGCTTCCCCAGCATTCAACCTGGAGTTACACAAGCTGTGCCTCAGCATGACTGGTCTATTAGGGTAAAAATTCAAGCTATCATCTTATCATCTTGCCAATAAATTATTCAGAACTTTATTATGATTTCTCTAATTCTGAAGTTCTCTGCAAACTGATTCAAATTTCTCCAGCAACAGTTCCTCCCCAAACATCTCTGAGGCAGAATGACATTGTGTGTGTTATGTGGCCCCAAGCTGCAGTCTGCAGTAAAACTAAACCCACCAGGTCTAAAGCCCTCTGAAATGTTGTAACTACCTCTGTTTGGTACCAGTATCAGTGTGAGGAGGTGCACACTGTTGTTCTGCCTAAAGAACTGCCCAGAGCTCACAGAGGGTGTGGGTATGCACGGGGGCTGCTTCTCAACTTGAGCCCATGTTCTGACACCTCTGTGCACCACAATTTCTCCTTTTCCTTCAGACCCAGCTCTTCATCCCTGCCCAAGGACAGGCTGTGGGTCATTTGGGTGTTCTAGCCCAAGCTATACACAGAGGCCAATTTGACAAGCCCATCAGAGTTTATCAGCCTGAGGTCCACTCTACAGCATGTGTCACCTTTATCATTTTTAGCCTCCTTGACGGGTGGTTAGAAATTATTCATACAAAGTTAATGCTCTGATCACTGTCAGGATATAAAGGTATAGAAATAGGGGCTTTGCTGATGTGTACTGAAGTTTCTTATATATCAGCATTTACTTGTATTACTCAATACCTCTCTAACTAATTTCTGGCAATATTTTTACCCTGTCTTCACCAGAAAAAAATTCTGGCTTTACGTAAGCTTTCCTCAGCTACATAACTCAGATGGTTTCCTGGGCAGAGAAACATTAGAAACCTTGAATGCTCTCACGTTTTTCTGATCCAGCTCATCCTTTTTCCTTTTCCATAGTTCATCTGTCTTATCCTTGGGGCTGGACTTTTCCACTTCTCCCATTTGTTTGCAAATCTGCCCTTCACCCAAGCACATGTATTGGGCTGATTTGGTTCTTTCTTCAGTCTTAGCTTTACTTCAGCCTTCTCCTGTGTCCTGGAAAACTTGAATCCCAGTAGGAGCAATGTTTGTTGTTAACCCCTTAGTCTCTAAAGAAGTGTTACTTCTTCTCCATTTCTATTACAGAAGCATGCTCTTTGTTGTCTCTGTCAGCGCTGGGTTCAAAGCTGTCCTTGTCCAGACCCCAGTGGACAAAAGTGCCTTAAAAAAGATGGAGGGCAACTTTTTACATGGATGGACAGGGAGAGGACAAGAGGGAATGGTTTTAAATGGAGTAAGGAGAGATTTAGATTAGGTCTTTGGAAGAAATTCTTTACTCAAGGAGTAGTGAGGCACTGAACATGTTGCTCAGAAAAGTTGTGGATGCCCCATCCTTGGAATTGTCCAAGGCCAGCTGGATGTGACTTAAAGCTACCTGATCTAGTGGGTGACATCCCTACTCATGGCAGAGGGGTTAGAACTACATGATCTTTAAGGTCCTTTTGACCCAAAACATTCTGTGATCTCTGATGATTCAAACAGATAGGTCAGACCTGCTCTCCCTGGGCTATTCCATCTCCTCTAAAATGGCTTTTGTGTTCTTCCAGCACTGCATCAGTTACCCTGGTCTCCTCTGCAGTGCAAGTGCATGCAGCTCCTACCTGTCTCCTTTCAAAACTTACATATGTAAAAATACTTTCAATAAAAGTCTTTCCTGGTATGTTTTTATTTTAGCTATGTTCTTAAACATTGGGGAGTACTGGTGATCCACTGAAGTCACAATCACTGGACATTTTTACATTATCCTTCCACCATATGTTGCACTGTAGATGGATATAAGATATGATAATGCTAATATTACAAGAAAAGACACTTGCTGTATTAATCAAAATGGCTGAGACACGAAGACTGACCAAAGCTATCTGCCTACATATGTTTTAAATTCTGTTGATCATATAAAGTCTTCACACCAAGGCTGGAAGTTTGTAAGAGATGATCTATAACTCATCAAGAAGATATTGGCCTGATGCAGAAATTATTTGGGTTTGTAGCCTATTTTACCTCGAAGTTCAGGCTAGAAGGTTGTAATGTTCCCTTCAGGCCCTAAAATCTTGAATTCCATGGAACTTATAGTGTCTGATAGGGATGTTCTCTCTATAGAAAAGCCTTCCTATACAAGAAGCTTCTGATGTCAAATGTCCTATTGAACACATATTTTTCTTTACATGTCAGTCTATCGATCTCTAAATAATCAAAGATACAAAGTACATGATGACAGGAGATTATGGCACCTGTCATGCCCATGGCCAAATGCTCCCAGCTGGCAGCTGCTGGCTGAGTTACTGCAGCCCTGAGCAGACCTCTCTGAATCATCCTGGTAGTTTTGAGCTGCACCTCTTAACCCCTGGGTAAAATCTTCATCCTACTGAAGACAGCAGGACCTTGGTCACTGACATTTAACAGAGCTCGGATTTCACTTTGCTTAGCACTTCTGACATTTTCCTTTTTTTTTCCATTATACCTCTCTTTCTCTCCTGACACAGATGCATCCATATTTCTTGTATTTTCTCTCTGTCTGAGCACCTCCATTCATGCCACGTGGAACATCCAGCTGCTGGGACTCAGCCATGCTGCACCACAGGCAGTTTCCTGTAGCAAGGTCAGAGCAACTCAGGATACCTCTCCTCTGGCACCTTTCAGCTTGAGGTGTTGGCTGGCTCTGCTCAGCTTATGACAAGGGGTTAAAAAAAACCTTTTCTGCATGAGGCTGCTGAGCAGTTAAGGGATGGATATCAAAGCTTTCTGATAGCTGAATATATCAGTAACTTCCAGTTGCCTGGAAATCAGAGGAGAAGAATGTAACCCTTTGGGCCAGTCCGGAGTGTGTGCTGCATGTCAGAGTCCCATCACATCTGGTTCACATCCTCTCTCTGGGCAGTGCTGGATGGGGCAACTCCAGAGGTTTATTGCACTCTTTTCCAACTCCTGAAACAGAAGAGAATATTATTCAATGGA